CTGAGAGGGGACTGCCGTCCAGGCGGGAGAGGCTGTCTGAGAGGGGACTGCCGTCCAGGCGGGAGAGGCTGTCTGAGAGGGGACTGCCGTCCAGGCGGGAGAGGCTGTCTGAGAGGGGACTGCCGTCCAGGTGGGAGAGGGTGCTGGTGTCCAGGCAGGAGAGGCTATCTGAGAGGGTACTGCCGTCCAGGTAGTATAGGGCAGCAGTCTGCAGACTGTCTGGGAATCAGTATGTTAGGCTTTGGGGGCCACATTAGGTCTTTTTCCACATATTTTCCCCTTCTCTCTCTTTTTGTCTTAATGACTCTTTAATAATGTAGAACTCATTCTTGGCGTGTTGTCCTTAAGGAGCCTAAGCTGATTTTGTTTTCTACTCTGGCTGGCCATCAGTGGTTCAGCCATCCGTGGTGTGAGACCTGGTACCTTATATAGAAGCACCTCTCATTCACTGTGTATGAACCTGTTGCTTCGTATGTTTTCTGTCTAGGCAGGTGTGTAGTGCTGTTCACAGTGGTGCTCCACCCACAGACCTATTAGTCATCCTTGAAACCTTTGACCTTTAACCCTCATGAAATGAATCTATTGCCTGTTCCTATCATTTTGCTTCCTAAATCTCCCTAGTATCTAGTTCTGTCTGCATTATTGCCCTAGTCTAAGTATCTGTCACCTGAACAGTAGCCTCCTGACTAACGTCACATCTCCTTTTGTTCCTCTTCAGTTCTGTCTTCACACAGCTTGCAGAGTGACCCTGTAGAACCATGCCATCTGTCCGTCAATAGTCTGGTTTCTCTGTGCTCTCAGGATGCGTCGGGTTCCTTCTCCATCCACGCTGCAGTTGCTGTTCTTCCTCTCTGCTATTCAGTTCTCAGATGTTATACTGCTTCCCCCTTCTAGGGTCTTAGAATCTGCCCTTTCCTCTGCCTGAAATGCTTTTGCTTCTGCAGTTCACTTCTGACCATCCTGTAGATTTTAGTTCAGACCATTCAACAGCTATCTATTGGATGCCCAGTTTCTCTAAGTCTTGTTCTAGACACTAGCTCGGGGGTCCTCAAACTTTTTAAACAGGGAGCCAGTTCACTGTCCCTCAGACCGTTGGAGGGCTGGACTTTGGGCCCTGGGACGAGTCGGCTACTAAGCAGGACAGGCAGCGGCAGCAAAAACACCCTGCGGGCCAGAAAAATGTCCTAGGCGGGCTGCATCTAGCCCGCGGGCCGCATGTAGCCCGTGGGCCGTAGTTTGAGGACTCCTGCACTAGGTGAACAGACTCTGGATAAAGCACATAATGAACTTGCCTTGTAGAGCTCCTAGCCCAGTGAAGTTACCTCTGAACTCCGTAACGTGATCTGAATGTGATAAACCCTTGCAGCACCTAATGTGTCATCTTTGCAACAGTTACATTTATCTTCCATGTTTATTTGTGTGATTATTTGAATGATGTCTATTTCTTACAATAAATTATAAATGCCATGAGAGTAAGGACCCTATTCCTCCTGTAGCCCCCATATGGCAGAGTGAGAAATGCCTAGCACGTTAATCAATATTCAATAGATAATTTTTAATTGATGTCTTAATTGATTAGAAAATTTTAAGTTATGATCTCTAAATTTCCTCTTTAGAACTATATAAGGTGAACATATAATTTGTTCCATTTTTGAATGCAAATATACGTACATTAATTTTTTATGAGTTTTGACTATTTTTCAGGCTTGAGATATATAATCACTATTTTAGATCATACAGTGTGTTACCAAAATTAAATTCTAGTCCCTTCAAGTTAAAAATAAAAGTACACTGAGTACCCCTTTTAAAAGGTTATTTTTGTTTTAACCAAGAAGATTAGATTAGGTTATTCCAACTACAAAAGTTTATCAATCATGTTGGAAATTTGTTATTCTTCAGAGTAAGGTAAGAGTAAGCAATTACAGTGTCACAATTAGATAAAGAATATGTTTTTGAAAAATCTATTTTACCAGTTAAACATATGAGGAAACTTAAACAAGGTCTTCAGAATGATAGTGGTAAAGCCAGGAATAAAATAATCAAGATTATTGCTAGCTCTTGATGCCTGACCAAGGCATATTGCTGAACCAGTTTCTATATGTTATTTTTATATATGGAGTTTTTTTTTTTTTTTTAATCTCTTACCCCAGTCCCATACGACTTGAAAACTATAGACTGCTTTTAAATGAATTGTATTATTGAAATATTTATCTTAATCTAGATTTTTTTGATTCATTAGGTGATTCTGGACAAGGATTAAGAAGGTGGATCAAACAAGTTTTAAATCAAGATTTAACATTCCAACACATAAAAATTATTTATCCAACAGCTCCTCGCAGGTATGCGGTAATTCATTTCACTGCCCAGTGTAACTGGCATAATGTGCGTGTATGTAAAGAGATGTGCCAACTAGGTGTTCTTTGAGCTTAATAATGGTACCTTAAATTGGGGCACCTTTTTGCAGAATGTGTTCTTTATTGTAGTTACACTGTTGGGCTAAATTTTGTCAGGTGAGTTATTTATTCCCTCTCTATACGGTAGTCCCTAAATCTCTGAGTTTAAACTGTGTTTAAACTCAACCATGATTTACAGGACTCTACCTCCTCTGGCCCTCTAGATTATTTAACTTTCATACTCTCTTCTTCCCAATATTCCTCCCAAAAGGAAATTTAATAATTCTAATGAGTGTAATTGTTCTAATAATTTAGTTAAACCAGAGTTTAATCTCTGGGAAAGGATTTTATGATATTCTTTCCACATTTAAAAGGATTATTTAGAAATAATATATGCTTTTGGAATCAGTAAACTGGAATAGAAATCAGAAATTGACTGCTTAATAAATGTAGGTATGTTTGACCGAATTCACAATAAGAAGATTTATATAGTTTCAAAGTTAAACTGCTTTTTATAAATATTAAATTACAATCTGCATACTCTTTTGCTCCCAACACATACTTTAAGCAAGCATTTAAATTGCAAATATTTTTTGTGTAAATGGAATAGTGTGCTGAGCTGTGTCCCAGTCTGACTTCTCATTATTTGCCCTTGATTCATATCATGCATGCTATGTGCTTATGCAAATACTTTATTTTTTCATTAATTTAGTTAAGGAAAAATAGAACTGAGACCTCAAGAACATTCTTGTATATAATAATAAGAACTTTCTTACCTCAGTTGGTAAAATTGAAAGAGATTTAACAAAATGATAATGTAAGTTTGAAGAGTCAAAAAAAATTTAAACATCATTTTGGAAAGATTAAGTGTTTGGTAGTGCAGATAGAAGACCTGATCTCCTGTGGGTTATTTGTGCTAATTGTGTGTCTTTGAGAATGTTAAAAATATGTAGTAGCCAGGCGTTGTGGTGAGCGCCTGTAGTCCCAGCTACTCGGGAGGCTGAGGCAGGAGAATCACCTGAGCCTGAGGAATTGGAGGTTGCTGTGAGCTGTGACTTCATGGCACTCTACCGAGGGTTAGTTAATAAGTGAAACTCTGTCTCCAAAAAAATATATATATATATGTTAGGAAGTATTCCCTTCTCTGTTTTCTGAGTTTGTATTATTTCCTTCTTAAATGTTTGTTAAAATGCACCAGTGAAATCATCTGGATCTAAAGTTTTCTTGTGTGAAGGTTTTGCTAATGAACTTAATTTCTTTCATAGAACACAGATAATCAGATTTTCTGTTTATTTTTGTATCCGTTTTGATAATTTGTATTTCTAATGTTATTGGTATCTTTCATCAAATTTGTCAAATTTATTGGCATCAAGTTTATAATATTTCCTTTTAATGCTTTTAGGACTTACTGATATTTTTTATGTTATTGCTGATTAATGATAATTTATATCTTTTTTCTTGGTTCATCTTATCAAGGAGTTACTAGTTTTATTAATCTTTTCATACAGCCAACTTCCCTTTGTGATTTTCTCTCATTTGTTTTTTATTTTGTTTATATCTACTCTTAGATTTCTTATTTCCCACTGTGTACATTTATCACTCAAGTTCTATTAATGTGGGGGGGGGGAGACTAATTTTTTCTTTTGTTTTTGTATTATTTGTGTTGAAATACTTTCTTACCTCCTTCATGGTTCCATTATTATTTCTGTGTAACTTGCCACCCACATAACAGTTTTATTATGGTCACAAATTTTGTGGGTTAAGAATTCAGAAGGAGCACAGCGGTGCGAACTTGATCTGAGACCTTTCCTGGGAAACTTGAAGGCTGAGAGCGACTCATGACTTGACTGCTAGGGACTGGAATCCTCTGAAGGCTCAGTCACGTATCTGGCCATAAATGTTGGATATTAAGTGGGATCTTTCTTTGGTCTTATTACTGTAACATGTATGTGAGGCCTCACCACAGTATAGTTATTTGGACATCTTGGCAACATGGAGGCTGGTTTCCAAGAGCAAATTTTCTAAGAAAACCAGGAGGAGGCTATATTGGCTTTAAAGCCCTAGCCTTGGCAGTTACACAGAGCTGTTTCCTCATTAGTTGAAAGACCACTCAGATTCTAGGGAAGAGAACACAGACCTCTACCTCTTGATGAAATATCAGAATATTAGAGTCACATTATAAGAAAAAACATGTGAGATACAAAGTACTGTTTTTCTGGCAAGTTGCAGAAAATAATACAGTTCTGGGACCTTTACCCCATGGATTAGTTAGGAATATATTGTTAATTTACAAATATTTGGTATTATTTTAGATGCCTTATTGCTGTTAGTTTCTAATTTCATTCCATTGTTTTCAGGAAAAATATCCTGTATGATTTTATTTATTTGATACTCACTGGAACTTGTTTTATAGCTTTGCATGTGGTCTGTCTTGGTAATTGTTCTTGTGCATTTTTGTGTATAGTGTTCTTTAAATGTCAATAGTTCAAGGCGGTTGATGTGTTTTATATATGCTTAGTAATTATTTGTGTAAGTTGTTCTACTAGTTACCAAGAAATGGGTATTAAAATCTGCAATTTTGATTGTGCATCAGTCAGTTTCTCCTTTTGGTTCTGCAAGTTTTCTCTTAGGTATCTGTAGGCTGTATTTTTAGTTGCACACCAGTGTGGGGTTGTTATCTTCCTCATTAATAGCTCCTGTACCTTTACATTTTTCATTTTAATTTCTCTCAAGACCCTGAAGTATATGCTGTGTTTAATAGTAATGTAGTATGCATGAGTTTTCGTCATCTTACTGTTTACAGGGCAAATCTTTTTTTAATCCTTTTACTTTCTTTTGATTAAGGTACATGCTGTACCTTCTTCCATCCTTTTACTTTTAACTTACCTATGTCATTATATTTAAGGTGGGTTTCTTATAGACAGCTGGGCTTTGCTTTTTTTACTTAACCAGTCTTGCTGTCACTTAAGTGATTTGTTTAAACCATTTACATTTAAATTAGCAGTTGATATGTTTGTGAATTCAGGTGTACTGCTTTTTGTTCTTCTATTTCCCCTTTATACCTTCCTTTTTAATTTCGATTTTTTTAATACTCCGTTTTAATTTATTCCCTTTCATTCTGATTGCTCTAGGGATTATGATATATGTAGCAAACCTTTTTACTCACTTAAAGTTAGTTTTTTACCATTTTCAGTGAACTTTAGAAGCCTTATAACTGTATATGTTCGTTTATCCTCACGTTGCGTGTGAGAGTTGTCTTATGTATGTCATCAGCATACATCGAAGATACCACTAAACCAGGCTATAATCTTCATTTACATGTTTTAAAGAACTTAAGAAGAGAACAGTCTATTATAGCTACAGTTTTGGTCTATTACAGCATATCAGTATGTTTTGAATAAATTGTGAATTACCATTTGGCTATAAGGTAATCCTTCTCAACTATTTTTAATGGATATTTTTAATCAGCTGAGTTAAGGGCGTATTTAGTGAAAGTCAGCAATTAGTTTGCTGTGTTGATTTAGGTGGAAAATACTGCATTATTTTTTCAAAATGGTTAATTTGGGCTCTTTAATTGAAGTGCCCAATAAAGATTTTAATTTCTGTGACACACTGTAGCTGTACTTACAGTTAGAGGTTTTCTTAGTTTGGGTTTACGATTAGAATTTCAATTTTTTTTAAGTAGTTTTTTAATAAGCCATTTATGATTTATTTGATGATACAGCTTTTTTTGGTGTTTTCAAAAGTTCTTAATAAGATTTGCATAATGTCTCCACTTTTCATTGTACAATTTTTCCACATAAAGTCCACGTTTATATTTTACATTATATATGTATTCTAAAATAGATTTGGACACTTTCTATTTAGGCATGGCAAACAGTGGGTTCTTCGTTACTCCATCACGTGGGAGCCCCATCTGAAGCGTGGTGTTAGGACGTCCCTCTTCTGATAACAGTAGATGTGTACTACAGATATGCTAGTAAGAAACCCTACTTAAAAAAATATATACATTGAAGAAATAGTTTACTTCTTTTGTTAAGTATTAGGTATGTTTAAATACCTACCAAACTATGTAAATGCTTTTTGTCTTAGACATGATGTTTTTATAAAAAAATTTTTTTTGACTAATTCTAGAAATCACAGTATGGGTTTTACAAGAGTTAAAGTGAAAAAGATGTTCAAAGCACAAAAGTAAAATTTGAAACATTCTTTTATTTCTAGCTGACATAGATCATTTCCAAGTGATGCAAATGATTATTGACATTTGTCATTTAGAACATACTTATTTAGCACCTACTATATGTCAGGCTTTCTTCTTGGCACTGGGGCTATCACTATGGAAAAATGAAGTTCCTGCTCTCAGGGAGCTCACAAAAAGATACAAAACAAATGAGAAATTAAATGTACTAATTTCAAATTGTGTTGAATGATATTAAGAGAGTCAGATAGGGGCGGCGCCTGTGGCTCAAAGGAGTAGGGCGCTGGCCCCATATACTAGAGGTGGCGGGTTCAAACCTGGCCCCAGTCAAAAACTGCAAAAAAAAAAATGAAGACAGTCAGATAGGTTAATGGAAGAGATATAGAGATATTGTTGGGGAGAGAGAGTGTTGGTGAGAAGGGACCTATACTTTAAGTTTGATGGTCAAAGAAGCTCCCCTGAGAAGTGGCTTTTGAGCTGAGACCTGAATGATGAGGGGGAACCCACGATGCAGGAATGTGGGGAAGAGCCTTCCAGGTAGAGGGAATATCAGACCTGAAGCCCCTACATCAATAAGGAGCTTGTCCTGTTTGAAAGAAAGAAAGGGGCAAATATGACTCGAACCTCGGAAATGCGGTGGCATGTGGATTGAAATGAGGACAAAGGGGAAGACTGGAGCAAGATTATTGTCTTAAAGATAATGAAAACCTTTTGATTTTATGACTTTAGGGGAATGTAGATGGAAACAGAACTTGGTATCAAGCTGAATATCAACTCTTTTTTTCATTTTTTTTAACTTGGATATTTTATTCTAGCTTAATACTTCAACAATGTGTAAATGATTGATTGATTGATTTAGGAGTCACACAGATGTTCTTTGCCAAACATATTTATTTATTGTGGTAATGTCTGAGCTGTTTTATACCAGCTAATAAAGTGAGTTATTTGAGGAAGAAGGTGAATGAGTATAACATATGTGCCAGTAATTTTTAGCTGTTTAAGAAATAATCTTTTATGTTTTATTTAAAGGTTATTCTAACATTTTAAGAGTTTATACATTCTTGATTATGTTTTCTTAGCAAAAAAGTTCTCAATTATTCTCTGTCATTAAATTTTCCTAAATATTTCATTTGTACAGAATTTTAATTTTCTTAGAGAATGGTGAGAACAGAAAGCTACCATATTAGTGAAATACTTATGTTGGGATTCTCCCTTTATGGAGCACCTCTCTCTAATTAAGTAAGGCATTATCAAAGAAGAAAGTTAAGAGTTAACGTGAAGGTCATTTTTTCCCATTAATGGCCGAGTTCCCAGAATGATTCACATTGTAGCCTATGATATCATCCTTATTTAAGTGTTTAGACAGACAAACACTTACAGAAATAGAGTAAAATGAAAAGGGAAGTAGAAATAATTCAAAATGGTAACAGTCTAATTCAAACTTTAAAGTGAATGTTGCATATTTAGTTGTGATTTAGGACTTCACTGTGATTTTAGTGACAGTTCGAATGCAGTTTGAGATTTCATTTTGTTTGACAATGGCTATGTGGGAAGCACCGACTTTCATTTTCAGAGTACTTTAAGAAAGTTAATTCTGGGAGGAGGAAGGCTTGAACACTTTCTGCCTTCTCTCCCCTTCTCACATCAATTTACGTACCTCTCGTGAGCCGCACATTTTCTGGGGTCAGAAGGCAGAAGAGAGTGAGAGAGGAATCAGGTAGAGAGGTGGTTCAGGATTTTGTCTTTTCGGTACCAGCTGAAAGCCCAGATTGAGAGCACTGTGGGAAAAGCCCTGAGAGCTCAGCCTGCAAAAATCTGCTGCCCTCTTTTCAAGTTCATGTCACAAAATAGTAATTCTCAGACAATAACACAGTATTAATTAAAATTCCAAAAGGGCTTTTAAGGAGAATTATTTGAAAGTATTTTAATGTTTACTATTTTTGATTAATTTCTTAGATAAATAAACAGCAATGAGAATAGCCAGCACAAACCTGAGACAATTTCAGAACATTCTGTAAAGCCTCTTTAATATATAATATAGTCAATGTGATACTAAGTGATAAATAGATTAGTGGAGCAAAATGGAGCCTTACTCAGGCAAAGCTCTTTACCTACATCACAGAACACAGAAAATTATTTGAGAACCTATTTTTTTGATTTTCCCAAGTATAGTGTAGAATTAGTTCCATTCTAGATGCATTGGAGAAAAGTCAGTTCTGTTTATAGTATATGTCCTGGGTATTGCAACTTAATTATCTCACAGAACCCAGATTGAGGGAGACAAGGTAATACAGAACTATAAAATTAAGTATATGGCAAAGGTGGAATTTCACCATTGCCTGAGAAGGATGTCTTCCTCTTTCCCCTTCCTTTCTTCCTTTTAATATAAGCACAAGTGAATAATTAATATTCCTTAAAAAATCAAGACTTAGATGTACAAGTGAAAACAGTCTTAGAAGAAAATCTGGGATCCTATTTGAAAAAAATCTATAATTACAAAAAGTTCCTTAAATCAGGACACTCTTGAAATTTATTTTTTGTAAAAATAGATATTATATCAAATGTAAAGTCTTTTATCTGGTAAGAAAGCTATTTTAAATATATAATCTCAATATACAAAAATAGATTTGGAAATAAATACTTGAAATACAATGACAAATATTTGTCAGTAATAGACAAAGTACTCTCTTAAGCTAACAAGGAAAAAATTAAAATCTCAGCAGAAAAAGAAAAAGCAAATGATATCAATCAGCAGGTGCCTTTGTGTGGAGTTGTAGAATAAGTGTAACTGATCAACATTGATAGGATCACTAGTAGTTGCCTGAGAATCTAATGGGAATTGCTTGGCTTTCTTATAGGAGCAGCAGAGAATTTTCTAAGAAGGAATGTTCTGTATCATTAGGAAGATGGTGGTTGCATCATCAAAAGTATTTCAACTATATATTAAAATGTATACATGTATATATCAATTACACCTCAATGAAGTTTATTTTAAAATGTCAGCTGATAGTCTTAAATGATAACATTTTAATGTATGTCAGCAGGCACTGCTGTTAGTGCTGTGAACAAGAGATATTGTCCTACCTTTTTTGTAGAAAGGTGAATTTTTATAACCTTCGACACAAGGTTATGATTTTTATAACTTTCACACAGTGGATAAAAATTTTGCCTTTCAGTCCAGCAGTCCTGTTTCTTGAACTGTGTTCCAAAGGAGTAAAAGTTCCAATAGATAAAAATATGTATGCATATATGTTTAGGGAGCATTGTTCTGACTAAAACCTGGGTGCCATAGGAATGCCCACTTGTCTGGGCTAGGACTGGCCAGGTCTCGGCCTGGCTTATTTAGGTTCTGGATGCGGACCCTATCCTGTTATCTCTCTCGAGAACAATTACCTTTAGATGCCTATTCACTTTAGCAGAAGGGAGAGAGAGAATCTGAGGAAGAGAAGCAGTCTTATTAAGAGATTGAATCTCAGCAGTCTTCTTGGAAGAGAATCAGGTGGAGGCCCTGCAAACAGGAGAAGCATAAGAGTCAGAGTGAGCAGGTCTGAGAAAGAATAGCATGCATGGTCTCCACTGCCATCTCCTGCAGCTTCCTGTAGACGTGATCTCATGGCTCTTAGCACCACAGGTGGAGTGACTGTCCATCACTAATGCTCTCCTGCTGAGAGCTGAAACCCTTCCCCATGCCCTTATCACCAAGGTGTAGACTACCTAGCTATTACAGGTGTCTCTTATAATTACTGAGTATTCTGAGCTTAGCTCTAGCTTCTCCTTCCATATGTTCTCCTATACCCAGAGTGGGAGAATTGTAGCACATCTTTGTCATAGGCTATAATATAGCTGCTTAAAAGTCTACATTAGAACTGTATCAGTTGGAAGTATTTCCATGAGGTATTGTTAAAGGAAAAATGCATGATGCACATAAGAACAGCAGATAGATTTATTTTATTTTTCTTAAGCAAATAATGCTCTGGGAAATAGCCTGTAAATATGCATTGAAGGATATATTCCAGATGATTAAGATGGTCTGCCTAGTGTGGACAAGAAGGTATATATGTGGGGGAGTTGGAGAGGAGAGGAGGAATGGAGAGAGAAAATAAATGATATTTATAGAAAACAATCAAAAAGCATACATTTATGACATTTCTGAAATTTACGCATCTGCATAAATTAGGAAAAATGTTAAAATTTTTACATATTGAGGATATTATCTACCTAAATTTTAGAAAAATAATGTTTATGATATCCTGTTTGAGTAAATAAAAGATCCTCTGTATATGAGTTTTTAACAAAAAGGTGAGTTAGGCGGGGGGCGGAGCCAAGATGGCGGACTGCAGCCAGCTTTTTACAGAAGCTCGCATTCAGAAGGAGGCTGAAAGGACAGAAGCTTAGCAAATTAGCTGATGGTTTGGAGCAGAGACAAGAGAGAAGATTGAAGAGCGCACTTCAACCTTCCTGAGGCGAGCTGCGACCCCAAAAATACAACTAAAAGAGAAATCTAGCCGGACAGAAGCCTAATTTAAACACGCAAGGCCCCTCTGCTGAACTCAGATTTCTGGCTGATTTTGCCAGGTAAACCCCGGGAGCAGTGGCCTACTGGAGTGAATAGGGCCACAGACCTGGGGGATTATGAGTGACTGGGTGCAAGGTGGGGAAGGAGGTATTAACCTTCCCAAACTAACCCATTTGCCAGGTGCGTCCCTTTGCCCTTGCGGAGCACTGGAGCAAGTTATATCTGAACTGCAAGCAGACCCCTCTTATCTAGCTCCCAGAGACATTTG